GTTTTCGTTTCTCATTCCCACCAAAGACGAGTGGAAAAATGTAACTTTTATAGCAAAATAATTGCAAGAAACGTTTCTGAGAATACCTCTATTTTTGGTCTAAAATTGCCAGAGAACTTATACTCTCATTCACTGTGTTTACTAATTTTAAAATAGAAGACGGGCTTTCATTTTGTATGGGAGAAATTGACATAAAACGCTTTAGTTGAGCAAAGACCTGATCAAATTTATTGGAGTATCTTTTCTTCTAAAAGATCCCAAGCAATTTTATAGTTACTGTCACAAATTGTGACTGATTGAATAATCCTAGCTGCTTCGCCATGAAGGGATAACTTCAAATACGACAGCTTTTGTAAATCCGATAATACATCATTATTATGAATACTTGAAATGAAAAGATCCCGAAACTTAACCAATCTTGGAATATTTCCATTAAAAGATGGCGAATTTAATTTAGGTAATTTGTTACCTTGTGCAGTGGTATTTCAATCTTGAAATTACTTGCAACTTTAACACAAAGTTTTGATATTTGTCATTTAGCTTTAACCCATAAAGTATCAATGTTCTTTTGAACAGTTTGCTGTTCAGTCACATATTTATCAAAATCTTTCTCATCAATTACTCAAATAGTTTATTAAAAATATCTGAACACCCATTGTTAAATTTTGAACATTTATTTTCAAAAAGCTCTATCTGGAATAAATCACAAGTAGACTTTTCTAAATCAGAAGTAGCTTTCGTTATATTCGCTTTTAATGTTCATTTCTTAATTAACAATGCACCCATCATTAAAGTTAATTAATAATATAATACAGAAAGTATATGAACAAAGTCACTTACCTCCTTTTGAGGTAATCCAGATGAAACCGAAAATGGCTATTCCAATCACACTAGTTCTTCATAACAAATTTCTAATAGGTCGCACTTTTGTCAATTTACTAACAGTTCAAATTTTGGCATTTTAAATAGGTATCCACAGGTACTAATTTTTCTCCGGAGCGACGGACCAAAAGGTTCGAGAACAGAATTTAATTACACAAATATTCGCGAAATTCACTCAAAAATTTTTAGACTGTAGCATCTTTAATATTACTTCTGTTAGCAGACATTATATACACATGAGAACTTATACTGTATTACTGTATTATTATATACACATGAGAACGTATTCTACTCGGATGGATACTCTTGCCATCCACACCTTAACATACATATCACATATAATCTGAATTACCAGCTCATATTCAATCAATGGCGGCTAGCTTTTCGCCTTATTCTTTTCTACTCGTAGTTGCCAGACCTACACGCTTATTCACAAAGCCTACAGACCGTTTCTACTGCTGTTTGCTCCGATTGGTTAAAACAGAAAATGTAGGCTTACAGAATCTAGTGCTTGGCGACTTTCGGTTCATCGCCTTTACAATTTGTATTTGAGCGTCGTGTACCAAAAGGTGTGCGTAACCCACCGGAGAAACCGCAGCCAGCTCAGCGGTAACGAGCGCGGGAAAAATTCTCAGACTTCTAGATCGCCGGTTTTATCCCCGCTCATAGCTGTCATAAACCCTGCTGTACGCGGATTAATCTTTATTTTAACTTTATTGAATGACTTTGTCATTATTTGTCTTTTCGCCTTCGGGTGCGGTGTTAAAAGTTAAACGCCTTTATATTTTCTCTAATTTTTGTTAATGTTAATTTTTCTTATTTTTATTTACGGATTTGTACTCTTTGTACTAGGTACCAGTAGCAAGATTACGATCCAAGATCCCGAAAAGCGTTTCAATAGAAATAGCGCATAATGGAATAAAATATAATTTTAGTTATACTTACTCATAACTTAGGTAAAAAGAATAGATATCCGACGCCCTTAAATGTTTACTGAATGTTTTCATTTGGTTTATTTTTTAATATTCCTTTATTTGTATAAATTAATACGCTGTGCAATTTTTAATATTCCTTTATTTGTATAAATTAATGCCTGTGGGAATTTACACAACAGGCGTTTTCTAACAGAAATGACGAAAAGGTGCATATGCTGTCTCCATGTAAACACATCTTTCTTGTAAAACAATTACGTACTTTTAAAAGTTTATATTAAAATACAAATAAACTACACTCATGTCCATAAATTAAGGATAATTCGGAGTCACGCGGAAATCGAACTCTAAAATAAATATATCACCTGTAAAATCACTACACACATCTTCAAGAATCATATGCAAATTTCAGGAAGTAACCAGATGACACCGATGGTACGTCACAATGACGAGAGTGTAAGAGAGTGATATATAAAGAATACAGGCAAAGAAGTAAAATTGTTCGCAGGCGCTTTATAAGCATTTCAGTGCAATAACCGAATAGTTATGACACAAAGGACGCATTTGGATGATTTTTTACTTGGTAGAATTATCGGCCGTCTGGAATGTGGGCGTACCCAACTGGAAGTATCAGACGAACTTGGAATTGCTCAGAGTGTCATCTCCAGGCTTTGGCAACGATTCCAAGATGATGGTAATGTGAGTAGACGTTACAGCACAGGTCGTCCCAGAGTTACAACGCCGAATGAGGACCGGTATTTGGCAGTTACTCCCAAAAGAAACAGGCGGAGCACAGCCTCAGACCTGTCTCGTCAGCTCTCTTCAGCCACTGGTAAAACAATTTCAAGGCAGACCGTGTACAGACGCTTAGGGCAGATTGGTCTATATGCTCGTAGACCTGTCAGATGCGTGATTTACTGCGACTCACTGTCGCCTGCGGTTAGCCTAGAGTAGAGAGCATGCATTGTGGACACCGCAACAGTGGGCTTGTGTGATGCTTTCCGACGAGTCCAGGTTTAGGTTGCAGTCTGATTCCCGCAGGACTTTCATATGGAGAGCTGCAGGTACCCGTTACCACCAAAAAAAACATCATTGAACGACACCGTTACGGTGGTGCAGGAGTGCTCGTTTGGGGTGGAATTATTCTGGATTCCAGAACTGACCTGCATGTTCAAATTGGAACCATGACAAGCCAAATCTAACGGGACGTCATTCTGGAAAAACATGTACGTTTGTTTCGGGGCGCCATGGGCGCACAATTTGTGTTTGTGGGTGATAACGCCCGTCCTCACCGTGCAAACATCGTAAGCGAATGCCTTCAATCGGAGGATATCACCCGTATGGACTGGCCAGCATTCTCACCGGACTTGAATCCAGTAGATCACGTGAGGGACATGCTTGGCCGACGAGTTGCAAGCCGTCAACCTCCTCCTACATGTCTACCGGAACTTCGGTGATCATTGCTTTTTGAGTGGTGTAATATCCCCCAAGATCAGATCGATAATTTGATACTCAACATGCCTAGGCGCTGTAGGGACTGTATTGCATCGTCTGAGAGACATACAATGTATTAACAATCATATCAACCATGTAATATTGGTTTTTTGTAAATAGGTTTTTTTTTTTTTTTTTTTTTTTTTTTTTTTGTAATTTGCTCCAGGCAGAAAAAATCGCTAATTTTTTAAGAAATATCAAACATATAGCATCTTTTTTTGCTCTTTACCTTTTGTTTAATAAATAAGCTTTACAAATAAATCAAATTTGTTTTGCTTCTAACTCTTCCTTTGCCTGATTTTGCATTATCCTTAATTTATGGACATGAGTGTAATAATAAGATAAGTAGGTTATTTAAAATATATTCCACACAATTCCTCTAAGCTTTCATTCATAAACTAAAAAAATATGGAATGAAATAAACGCTTTCTCCGTTTGTTTGGCGTTAATTATCACGCCTACAAGGCGATAACTCGCCATTCCAAATATGACCAACAAGCAGATGTTTCATCCAATGAGAGCAGATCGTATTTTTTTTCCCCATGTGGCATCGTTAATTTCTGAGCAACCATAAACCTAAATGTCTAAATTTGAAAATAAAAGTATTAAAATTGCCTTCCCCTTTTTATGACGACGTGCAAATTCGTCTGACACAGAAGACAATTACAGATATACTGTGAAAATGCTTGTATTGCTATTCTAGGATCATTATTATCCTTTCTATTGTGCGTGTGTGTGTCCTTTTTTCCCTTTTACTGAGCAGCAGTTTCCACAACGGACTTAGTAACACGGTGCAAAAGTTTCTTCTCCGGTATCGGAAAAAAAAAAAAAAAAAAAGGCAGCTTGTAGAGTTCGTGCCAAATATAAAGGGTCTACATACATATTGATGATGTAATTGCCACTTCACCAGAACTTGTCTTAACAAGTTTCAATGACAGGCATGGTTGAAAGAATCGGAATAGATTTCGTTGTGGTTCATTAGTTTTGCGTTCTTTGTATTTTTAGTTTTTTTTTCTTGTGTTTCTAAGTCTTACTTCTTTATATCGCGCTTACCATATAAAAATTTTATACATTAAAAATATATTATTGATTTTTAAAATATATTAAATTCTTTTTATGTATTTTTCTGTTATATTTATTTTATATGATATATTCCTTACTGCATTATATAGCTTCTTATCAATAAACAATTAATAACCAATTTCATAAATAATATTTTTTAATTAATGGTATCTTGATTATGCCACGCAATTACTAGTACATATTCAGCTATCGACCCCCAGTTGCCTCTTTGATCATCATTGATCCCTTTAAAATGTCATCCACTCCCAGAGGGTTAGTACTGACCCCCATTGGAAACCCCTAGCCAAAAATGAATCTTACTGAAACTAAGCCATTGTAGTGTAAAATAAGCGATATGTTTCCGCATACTATTTCACCTGAGGAAGCATTATTTGAAAAAAATATATATTGTTATTCTTTCCTTATTGTTCTTTCCACAAAACACGGAATGATAAAAAAAAATATTCCGTAATATCTGCCCAATCATGTAATTGTCTTCCGTAATCCCAAACCAAGCACAAAAAAGTGGCTATGAAGAACAAAAGAAGACAATAACATTGAAGTTGTCTCATTTCTTTCTTTATTTAGTAACAAGATGTACGTAACAGCACATATTTAAGTAGCAAAACACTCTGCATTCCTCTTTAGTGCTTGAAAACAGAAACTGATCTCGGATTAGTTTAATAGGATTTGTTTCAAGATAGTGTGAATACATGATCATGCTCAGGTAATGTGCGCAGTTTTTAACCGATATACACAATGGAATATTCTTGATGTAAAATTAAGAATGAGTGAAAACTTTGAGGCCCAGGAAGCACTTAAGTTCAATGACCAAAGGAAAATAGAGCGCAAGCCAGGTGATGTCGATGAGATGAAAAAGAGATTTATGAAGATTCAGATTCAGAATTATGAAGATTCAGTCTGTACGGAAGGAAAATATTAGAAAGTATTCGTCCCTTTTTTGGTAGTTCAAGTAAATTTTCAAATTTCACTAAGAAAGGAATCAGGTGCTCCAAGATTTCTTTTCTCGAAGAAAGGACATCTGAGGATAATTCCTGTGTTTTGCGGTTTTGAAGCGGTAAGGCGATACTGAGCTACTACAGTGGTTTATACTGGGTCGTTTAAGGAAGCTGATCATAGCTGGCTGGGAGTGCAAGTGAAGGGTGTCAGTTACTTATCAGTGAAGGCTTGGCTATCTTCACATTGGGGGGGGGGGTCATCTGACTTCTACGGAATCCTCATGCAGTGACCTGAAAATTGAAAAAGTAGTTCAGTTTATCTCCTTCCAGAATTTCTACTGGGAAAAGTGCAAGTAAGAGCTTATCTAATGCTGATTTAGACATCTTGAATTTTTTAGTGACATCAGTAGTGCTGTAAAAAAGGTGAATTAAATCTTAATCTAGAAACAGTGACTTACTAGGTGAAATTTTGTCTATCGTCGCTTGTGCATCGTTATCTTGGCGAGTTCTTCCCATGCGTCTTAGCAAAATCCTAGCTCCTTTTGAAAGTATAGCATCGATATTCAGGTCACATAGGGCAACCTTTGTATGAAAGCAAATGTTCTGATTTACACCTTATGCACGTCGATTTTATACCAACTACGTTCAGGCGTAGCGTTCCTGGCATTTTCATATACTAGAAAGAACATGTAAAAACACTTGCACAAGGAATTACTTCTCGTGTTACAGTTTTATAACGTGAAGCACGTTAAATACTGACATTGGTAACACTTTCTCGTAACAAATAGCGAACGTACTATAAAGGGGCATCTAAAAAATATTACGGAACGGTATACTTTCACAAAAATGTGTTTGTATTTTTTATACGAGTTTATACATACGAGTTTCGTAAAAAAATCTCTCAAGAAAACGTTTTAATATAAATGCAAATTTTTTATCATATTATAAAGCAAATACGTAACAGGTGTATTTGTAGGTCATCTGAAATATATCATCTTCTTTAATGTAGCATACTGAGTGACAAATAAAAATATTTTTTTCCTAGTATTTATTAACGGAATGAAGAAAGGAAACTGAAAATAAGTGCAACTAAACGTTTTCTCAATCTTTGAAGCTCTTGAGAAAGAGAATGATTACTATCAATAAATTCCGGAATTTAATACTTTCATATAATCTAAATATTTCAAATTATAATTCGTTTTTCAGCAGCTTTTGTTTACAAAGCAATAACATATTTGATTACTATGTATTATGGTACACTACTTTTTCCATTCCTTTCAAAACAAGAACGTATATTCCTAAAAGCAAATACATAGTAGCGAAAGTAGCATACCATTAAATGCAGTAACAAAGTATATTTTACCTATGAAAAGGAATTACAATTTTGAATTAGTTGGAGTATATGCAAAAATTTAAGTTCTTGAAAGTAATCGTCCCCCATAATGACGTATGATTGAAACTATTTATAGAGAAGTATATGTCGATAAATAAATTATGTTCTGTTGTCTTTCGGCCACGTTCGCAAGGCTTTCGTCGGCTGTTAGGTATCGATGAAGCTACCAGCTCTTGCCAAGTTAGTACAAGGCATCAGCATTCTGTGTGCGCAGTAAATAATCTCGTGTTAACCACGGAATTTATTGCAGATTAAATAGTTGATAGAATCCTAAGATCCTACGTGTGTGCTTCTCAACGTGCTCATGTCTGTGTCAACGAAACGATTCCTATATAGAGCAAAAAAAGTGTTTTAGGAGTGATTCAGTATTATGGCCAAGGTCATTGGTGAATCAAAAGTGTTGCTCGAGAAACTTCTTTGCCTTCAAATTTCGACGTCATGTTGAGAGCCTTACATTTGTGAATTAAATGAAGTTTGCCTTCGGTATTATGAATGAAGATTATGTATGAATTTGTTACATTGGGCCTTCAAAATTAGAGATGAAATTTGAGGGGGGAAAATTCCAAAATTTAGTTCAATATTTGTTTTAAATAATTTTGAATTTATAAGTTATATGAGTGATTCGAATGTTATTTCATAATTCTTTTGTAATACCTTTAATGATGTTTTACATGCTTAAATTAAGAAATTTACTTATTCTACAACAAAATTATAAATGCGGACAAAAGGAAAAACTTTAAAAAATGTTAAAAAAAAGTACGAATTTTTTCCCATAGATGAGGATAAATTTACTTGTCCTGTATTTGATCCAATAAAGGATTTTTCTGTTGACAAATATTTCATGTTTTTTGAAAAACGGTGTAAATGTAAATGAATTTCTGACAAAGATAAACTAACTATATTCACAGATTTTTTTAATGGCGAGCCCGTTTTCATTTTAATATCCGCTAATGTGTTGAAATTGAGAAATGGAAGGTATTAAAGGAAAGATTTTTAACTTGCTTCTCTGGTTAAAATAAAATATTACCTTTGATAATTTTGTTTCGGTTACATATGACAATTTTAAAGACATTGATAAGTATTTCCGTCAAATATTAAAACTGGTTCTGCATTGCATTCAAGTAATAAAATTCGTACTGTTTCGTTAACACAAGGATTGTCAGAGTTATGTTACTGTGTGTTTAGAAAATATAAGCTCACTTCAAAATTGGATTTCCCTAGAACGAAAGTTATTTCCAATTTCAAGTACCCCTCAACAACCAGAGAGTAGCAGTCATGTACCTAGACTTACTGGGCCTAGGCAGAATTCGTGTCCATATTTAAATTATTCAAGGTATAATCCCCCAAAACCATTTTCCGCTAGATCTTATTTGCCTTAAACTTTAGTCTGGAAAAATTTTCAGCCTCCCCCATTGTGGTTTCCATGTTCATAATATTCAGTGTTGAATTTCTCCCCATTCTATAATAATCAAACCTCACTTAAAAAATGACAATAGTTTAACTTAAATGATAATAATTTTCACGCTACAGGGATACAGGTAATTATGTTAATGTAATTTCTAGAAATACTTTTAAGTTGCATAGATAATTTTGAAAATCTCGAAAATGAAACTTCAAGAAAATTATTGCCTCTATATGGAGGTCTTCCTGTCGCTAAAATAATTAAATTGTGATGTACAATTGGAAGGTTAAGTAGAGATGTAATAATATGTAGAAAATGACGCAGATAGATATTGAAATATAATGAACAGCAAACTTGGCAGCTGAGGTAGATTTAATATTACATTCTACACTTTCCCTGAGGAACAGAAGCAAAGTGCGAAGATATTCAATATGGAAATTTAGAAGAAAGATTTAGATTCTAGAAATTTTAAGTTCCAAATTAGCTGCGCCATCATCGTTATGTTAAAGATGGAAAGGGGAAGTGCTCAAATTAAAACGAAGAATAAAGCGGCTGTAGCAAAATTAAAATTAGTGTTTTGTTTTCATATTTTTTATCTTATACATAGATAAATAATTTAAATTAAAAGAAAATTATTTCCAAAACTAAACCCAAATTTTCCGCTGCAAGCTGCATTAATTAGTAGAAATAATTATCAAAATCAAACATAAATAAATTCAGCATCATATTCAATTAGAGGTAATGACATGGCACAAACACAGCAAAATTACTAATACAGATAACCATTGTATTGAAAAAGTAATGATATATTTTCCAAAGTTTACTAACAAATGAAAACAGTACAAACGTATGAAAATTTAAAATAATTTAACGTAATTTAAAATACATTTTCCTTTATATTTTTGCAATTTCTATGTCTTTAATTTATTTTTGGATAAAATTTGTTTGCACTCCGTTGGTTTGTCTCCGTTGGTTTGTTGGTTTTTAACAGCTCTTACACTGTTTTCGATTTTACTTCCTTGTACAAAGGAAATATTCTAATCGCGAATAATTTTGGGTATCATATTTCAATGAAAATATCCATTTTGACCGCTATCTAATGCAATTTAACGATGTTTGTGCATGACACCTGTAAGTAAGGACAGAATAAAGGACTCTGTTCCCCCCAAAAAATTATAAAACTGGTTTAAAATGAACTCGGAAGAGATTTTTTCGTGGCCTCTGTACGTACGTACGTACGTATCTCGCATAACTCAAAAATGAGTAGCCTCAGAACGTTGAAATTTTGTATATAGGACTGCACCTCCCATTTTGGTAGCAATCGGTAGCACCAAAAGTATATAAATATGTATAGATATATATATCCACTCTGTTACTCGAATCAGTGAGCTCAGTTTCTTTATTCTTATATGTTTGCATATTGTGCATTTTTTGCTTTAAAAATGATTGAATGATGTTATTCTGGTTAAGATTTTTATGGCTTCATTTAACCTGCATGCAGCAATTGTGGAATTATCATCAAAGTTTTTTAAGTGCGGCTAAGCCTAATTTTTGATTACCATAGCAGCCATGTTTGTTTACATTTGAAACTTGACAAAATAGTGGATTTGTTGCCAATCTAGAAAATCTACGCTTTGCAACAACAATGTAACGTCTTTTTTTACTATTGCAAATTAAATTATGCTTAATTCATTCCGGAATTAATCTGTAATTTTTTTTAATTGTTTTAACTGTACTTGGTGTTTTATGTTTTTCTATATCTTTCAAATTTTGATGAAAATATTTTTGAATTTTTATGCATTTTTGCCTTGCTGCGAAGTAAGAACTGAATTAATTAGTAGCACATGCGCATTAGGTAAGCAGCGCTAAATTGTCTGCGAAAAACTGTTTCTTTTTTACTTCCTTGTACGAAGTAAGTATTGTAATCGCGAAAAGTTTCAGGCACCATATTTCAACAAAAATATTCATTTTGACTGCTATCGAATGCAATTCAACGATGTTTCTGCATGGTATCTTTACGTAAGGACAGAATAAAGACTCTTTTTCCATCCAAAAAAATTATAAAATTGATTTAAAATGAATTCTGAAAAGATTTTTTTCGTGGCGTCTGTACGTACGTATCTCGCATAACTCAAAAATGAGTAGCCTCAGAACGTTGAAATTTTGTGTACAGGACTGCTATAACATGTAGATGTGCACCTCGTACTTTGATTTCAATCGGCCGCACAAAATTATATATATATATCCACTGTGTTACCCGGCTCAGTGATCTCAGTTTATTTACTCTTATATGTTTGTAAATTGTTCATTTTTTGCTTTAAAAATTATTGAATTATGTTCTTATCTTCCGGTTAAGGTCTTTAGTAAATCTGCATGCAATATTTATAGAGTTATCAACAATTTAAAGTTGTTTAAGTGCGGCTAAGCCTAATTAATTATGTCAGGGCGGACATGTTTGTTTACACTTTAAACTTATCAGAATAGCGGATTTGTTGCCAATCAAGAGAAACTAAGCTTTACAAGAACAAAGATAACGCCTTCTTTTATTTTTGCGAATATCCATTCTGGAATTTGTTCGAGAAAATAAGTGTTTAAGATTAACTTCATAATTCAGCGAAGTAGATTTAATTCAAAATTCGTTAACTGTGAATTCAATATGTTTAAATGAAATGCAGGAAATTTAAATATATATATATATATATATATATATACAGGGTGATTATAATTAAAGTTTAAGTTTCAAAACGCTATAAAAAAAAGAACCACTCATGAAAATGACGTCAAATTTGAAAGGAATGTTATTGAAGAAGGCGGGAAAGCGTATGGCAGAAGAAAAAATTTAGTTTCAAAAGTTAGCAACAGATGGCGCTGCAAGCGGAAGAAGACGTAAATTAAAATGTTAGTTAAATTTCAGTGTTATAAAGCCGTCAGGTACCAGGCTGTTCCTCATTTTCGCGTCTCAGACATTCGCCATGGGTGTTTTCACTGCAGGACCGCGCTCTGCTGGTAAAGCTGTATTACAAGAATGATGATTGTGCAAGAGTAGCTCTGCAAAAATTCAGGACACTGAAGGGTATAAAAGAAGGCGTTGGTCCAATGAGTGTCGTGGAAGGTCTAAAGAAAATGATGCAAAAATTCAAAACGACAGGTTTCGTTTGATGTGCAATCTGGTAGAGGGAGAAAACGAGTGCATTCGACGGTAGTTGAAGAAGTGGCCCCAGCATTACAGGAGGGGTCGGCCGGTGGTGTGCAACCGTGCAGTGCACGAGGAATTGCCCGAACATTGGACAGGCCTACGAGCACACGTGGTGCTGAAAATTGTACGAAACATCCTGCAATGCTATCCGTACAAAATTTGGCCTATGTGCAGGATTTGCTTCCGTCTGACCTGGACAGCTAGGGAGACGTTTGCGTTAGAATTCCTGGCTCGCATGGAAGTGGATAATGAATGGCCGTGGAAAATTTTGTGGACAGATGAAGCCCATTTCCTATCTGACAGGATACGTGAATACCCAGAATTGTCGAATATGGGCAACAGAAAATCCACTGGCAAAGCACCCCGTACCACTTCATCCTGAAAAGGTCACTGGTATGGTGTGGCTTTATGGACATCATTCGTCCTACAACCATATTTTTTCAAGCAGACGGGTGCTTCCGATCCTGTTACCGCAACCGTCACTGGTCAGAGGTATGCGTCTCTTTTGCGCAACCATCGTGATTCCAGCTCTGCAACAGCGTGGATGTGTGGATGAAATCATTTTTATGCAAGATGGCATTCCGCTCCTCCGCACATTGCACATCCCGTGAAGCAGCTGCTGAGGCGCCATTTCGGAAATGCTCGAATTATCAGCCGTCATTTCCCTACAGCCTGGCCGTCCCGATCGCCTGATCTTACTCCGTGTGATTTCTGGCTGTGGGGATATCTGAAGGATGTTGTGTTCCGTGCTCCAATTGCAAATTAGCGGAATTAAAGGCACGCATTTCACAACACATTCTGAACATCACCCCGGAGACACTGCGATCCGTTGTGGAACATGCTGTTTGTCGCTTTCAACTTGTTGCACACAATGGTGGACACCATATTGAACATGTTTTGCGCCAGTCTCGTGACAGTTCCGAACTTCTTTGATGAATGGTTCTTATGCGGTACGTCGCTGCAAAACTCATGAAACCGATTTGTCCCTTTCGATGTGATATGTACAGTCATGCAAATAAAATTATTCAACAATTCTAATTTGTCAATACGTTTTAATGTGTAACTTCCACCTTAGCCGTTGTTTTACGAATCATTTCTCGTCATGATTCGGCCGCTTACAGCGCCATCTGTGGCTAACTTTCAAAACTAAATTTTTTCTTCTGCCATACGCTTTCCGCCTTCTTCAATAACATTCCTTTCAAATTTCACATCATTTTCATCAGTGGTTCTTTTTTTATAGCGTTTTTAAACTTAAACTTTAATTATAATCACCCTGTATATATATATTTAAATATATGGTGTGTGTGTGTGTGTGTGTGTGTGTATTACATACAGTTATTTAACTTATTTAACTTAATAGCTGAATCTGAAGTATATGGCCCTTCTTGTGTTCTATTTTGTAAAAATCAAATTTCTTACGTGATGCACTGGCTACTAAGACGTAATATAAGTATATCTCCATGGTATATCCTAATGTAAGTATATCCTTAATATATCTTCTTGAGTGGAAAGCAATGAAACTCTTGTTAAAGGTTGTTATGTTAATAGATATGTTAAGAGATCAAAAGAGTCTTCATGTGGAAACTTAAAAATCGAAATTCTTCACATAAAGACTTTCGCTCATGTCTATAGTTTTTAAGTACAGACCGCACAAAATCCCTTAAATGATACTTTAATAAATTTTTCTTTGCATTTAAATATTGTTTTAATTTTAGTAACACAATTTTCAACATTAATTATCGAAATTCAGCTCTTCGGGAATTACTTTTTATCGAAAGCATTTAATTGCTGGAGAATGAAGAGTGCAAAACGTGTATTTAGTAGATTGTGGGTTATTTGTATTTAAAAAGTGAATGCAACGACTAAAAGAGCAGCAATTTCTAGGAAAAACAAGTCGTTTCTACAGGCGAAAAAAGTTTCAATAAAGGCTGGTTTATCGAAGTCTTGGGAAATAAGCGTATGTCTCTCAGCCTCATAAATCTTTTCAGATTCTGGCACATTCCCTTAATGATTTTGCATTGTTGTAAGAGATTTCGTTCATCCAAAATATTTTAACAAAAATACATTTATAGCCGAAAAACAATGAAAGTTAATACAGCAACATCCATTTAATACGCATTGGTTTACTTTGAAGCTTTCATTCATGCTTTTTAACAAAATTTTGTTTAGGCGCTCAGAGGTTCTTAAATTCTGAGAGTATATAATAACTGAAAAGTTGATTGGAATTGCAACCGATGTTCAATATAAGAGTTTTATAGTTCATGTGTGGTATTTATTGATAAGATGGAGAAAAAACTACTTTTCGGTTGGTCTATAGCTAGCTGAAGGCTCTGGTGCCATGAGAAACCAAAAAGTCAGAATTTTATGTGCAATCTTACACTGATACCAGAAAACAAAGAAAAGCTTAACCATAACTTTATGCGCAGGCTGACGCATGTTTTGTTTCAAAAGAGGTGTCAATTCAGCTGCTGGGATGTTTTTCTGGTCTGAAACATCAGAACTGGAATAATAAATGTGTTATGTTTTACCGCGATGTAGGCGTCCATTTCTGATCTATTCAAGGAAACAAAGATTATTATTCCTGACATTCATCAGTTCATGTCCGGAATTAAATACATTTTTAAACACAACAAAATATGTTATTTAATATATTTCGAAAGCCTTCGTTAAGGGAATTTAAATATTTAAAATAATGAACAGCACAGGAAGCAAATTTAATATTGGAGAAATATTTACAGACATTTAGCAAGCGCTTAATTAAAAATAACATTACGTTAGGCAAATAAAACTTGTTAAAATGTGAGTGTGTGGCTGTTGCTCTCATAAGGCTGGTAGTTTCAATTTCAGATCTTTCTCTTACTTAGCAAGTTTTTCGATATATATAATCGACGTATAATATAAATGATAACAATTTATTAGATTATGAAAAGAGCAATAGCATAAAATTAAATACTTACTCTTACCCACTGAAGAAATAAAATATTTTGCATTGAATAGGTATTTATAAATATTTCACGAGATTTAAAAAACTGTTAGAGTTAACTAATTAAGCATCAAATACTAAATAGAAAGCTTTCACTAAGTAACATTCTTATACAAAAATAGTTCATTTAAAAAAACGAAAAGTGAAAGAACTGAGAAAAAAGATTATTCTTACATATAAAATCAATCCAGAAGGCTATAAATGTTGCAAAAATCTGATTCTACGTTTCCATCGCTGCCTGGAAAAAACCATAAACATTCAGTACAATAATGCAATTACTTAATTATTTCCTTTTATCTCTTTGCATGGTTTAAAGGTTGAATGAAACTAATATCGCTTTACACTTTCGCAAGCGGGAATTATTTAGCAGAGAATAATGGCCTTAAGCCAACTGTATAGCTTCTAAATTAATAATACAACATAAATGCGTTAAGAATAGAACTAAGTAAGTCTTGCTGATAGCAGAAAATTATTCTTAGGTAATTCACGTCAAAAATCGTACATAAAAAGTTGTATTCGTCTGATTAAGGGCAAGCGATACGAATCTTTCGCGTTAGGCGTTTCTTGGAGCTGATTTCTCCTTGAGATAAGCTTATTGTAAGGTATTAAAAAAATGGCTTTTTTCGTGAAATATATATTGTCGGCACTGCGTAAAATTCAGTTGTCGTATAGAATACCTGGGCGTTCTGCAGAATATTTATGAACTTTTTACCAGAGTTTAAAATACGTATATTTTCTAGCGATCTTACTTATTTCACTCAGTAATTTTGCACTTTACCTATGTATTTTTGATGCGTTACGTATCTGGGCTTAAAAGACTTATAATATGAAACTTAACAAAGGCAAGACATTTTATTAATAAACTAAAACATGAAATAGTGATAAAAAAGGGATCGAAATCTTTTACTAACAAAATGGTGTCAGGAAATTGATATATTTTAGTCTTCTACTTATTATTGCAATCTGAATTTGAATGACAGATTTATTTTAGCATATTTAACAGATAATAATTGCTTAATTTGATATTTAGTGTTGCACATGCATTTCAAAACTCCTTGTCTAGTTTTTGTAGCCAGTCGTGTTGCAGCCAGCTTGAATGAGATCTCGTGATGATCTTCCATTGAGAAGACTTCCAGTGCTCGTTTCAGATTCCTTTAATTTCGATAATCCATAATCCGAGAAAATGTGATGAAACCTTGCCTTGATGTTTTAAGAAATATGCACAATGAATACGTACGGTATAAAATACCGGAATTCTCTCATTGTTGGTAACAGACAGAAAGACAAATAAAGTCACTGAAATTCTTTGGATTTACACTGAATCAAACAACTTAAGCTGCCTCTTTTTACAGTCCTTATAATTGCTTCTAACCTTTTAGTCTAAACTACTCAGGTTCTAAAATATGATCATTTCAAATTAAAATATGAATTCTTTTTAAATGTTAATTAAGATTAAAATTTATAAGAGTGTAATTTCTTAGTTAAGTGAAGAAACATGCATATTTTTGATAAATCCAGGTGGTGACGAATTCTTCCCTATCTGACTTCAGTCGAACGTGACTTTTAGAGTCTGTTATGTTTTTGAAACAGGAAACGTCAGAAAATTAGCTCTGCCTTTGCCAGGATTTTAATCACAAAAGAGGGAATCGAGACCCAGTGGACCAAATTAAGATAAAAACGAATTATCAGCCATCATCTTTTTAGTCAGACGCCACTGTAGAGCTATCAAATCCTTCGCTGCAAGAAATCAACTAAGTCATCTCAGAGATTCGAACTCTCCATATTCCGATCTGTAGCCGTATATGTTACCAAGTGAACCACTAAAGCATGCAGCATGGAAAGTGAACTTCATCATAATCTATTTAAATTAAGATAATCAGCAATGAGCTGTTGAATAAAGGTGTCTTTAAAAGCAAGAATTTCTAATATAACTTTGAAAGGTGAGGAATAATGAGGCATAGAAAATATAATTTTCAAATCTAAAACATTAGAAATGAGAAGAAAATTTTTGGAATACGAACTGAAGTCGTAAATACCACCAGCGGCTAAGCGGAAAAGTCGCTGAACACTGGGAGTTCGATTCGACATTCGAATTCCAGAGAACCCGTTGGCTGCATATAGGATTTTTCGTGGTTTTCCCTCATGTGTAAAGTATATACGGTTTAGTTTCCCTCAGAAAATCCTTCACGAAGGCATTTCTCCACTTAGGCAGATAGCTCTTGGTTGCTTTGCCAAATTCAAATAAACCAAGACAAACCTGAAGCGTAAACATTTACCATATTTTTTCCTAATTCAAAGATTCAAAGTCTTAATTCATTTTTTAAGAATCATTCAAAATTTAATGTTGAAAGTATCTATTTTATAGTTGTTTTGTACTTAAAGGATTTGGTGTGGCGAAACGTTATTATAACTTAAATAATGATAATATCAAAATGTAGCTATAGTTGTGACTTTGTTATAAGGGTGATGAATTAAATTTTAAATAATCAAACAAGCTAAATAATGTATCGTAGATGCAGTTTGTAGGAATTGTTTTCATTCAATTTCAATTACAAAATTCAGCATGTTTCTAATTAAAATTTCTTTGAGACGTTTGCTGCATCCTTGAATAGAATGGAATCCTTAAATAGAATTCATGGAAGAGTAACGGTTTTGTGATTTATATGTGTATTAATAGAAGCAATTGCTTTATAAAATTTAATGATATATTTTCGAAATGAATCATCAAACGCGTTTCTAAAATTTCTAAAGAATTTTTGCTTTACAGGCAGGCGTAGGTGTTCTTTGAATATGTAGCACAAGAGAAGGGATTAGCGTATTCATTTATTTCCTTTCAAATAACACAAAAATTGAGAAACATAAAGTGGCAAAATTACATTCTAAAATATGATATTTCAGACAAATCAAATCAAAATTTGGCATCCATCAAAGTTGTATCCCTAATTGATAGCTTGTACTATACCCTTAATTCCGCGGTGGTTTTACTAACATCATTGAATATATTTCTCACAGGTGATAATTGTTTTCAGCGTAACTACATTAGTATCAAAATTGGAGGAAATTAAAAGTTTTTTTTCTTCATGTTACTTCATTTTACATTTTAAGAGAGCTTTAAATTTCTGTCTTTCACTTGCTTCAGTTTTGGAGTAAGATCTGGGATACATATTCCGATTGAAAGTGCAAAAGATTTTTAAAAATAGATAATAATTCTTAAAATGAATATTCTTTCTCTTCAATTTCTTCTTATTTTTTCAATTTCTTTCACTTCGCATAGTTTTCCATTTTATTTGTGTTCTGCACTGAGGTGGTGAAGCCCGCTGCCATAAAGATGGCCCGGGTTCCGTGCATTTTATCCATCTCTTAAACTATGACCTTATTTAAATAGTGATGGTTACATTTAGATGTGTCGGAGCTCTCGTTCAACTTAAAATTCAATTCTTCAACTTTTATCTTTGCAGACATTTTCTTAAATTTATGTAAAATATTGACCTTAGATGTGCTCTGTTACTCAAATTCCATGTGAATTTCATTCCCATTAAATATTAAACTAAGTAAGTAGCATTATGTGCAATCTTCGGATATAAATTTGCGACTTAATCAAAAATGTGCGCACTGTTTTGATTCTCAGTTTTGCCTGTGATGAATCTGTGATGAATCTGTAACAGATTCTTGAACCAATTTTTATCAAAAGCATAGGTCGTCAAAGCATGAGTTATTAAACACAGTTTTTATTATACAGTGAAATGAACTAATTGTGTTATTCTAATTTCTGGATTACATTTATAATGTAAACATGTGTTTGTGCCCTTAGGAAACCTTCCAAGAAAAATATCTCTTAAACAGGCGAATAATTTTTATAATATGATTTACCGGTCTTTAGTAACTTAATTCAGTACATTAAATATTATAGAAGCTCATTTTCTACCATTAGATACAATCGGAGTCGCAGAAGTAAGAGATGTGGGGATTAGTTTAACGGCCTTTTCGGCTGCGTGTCATAGACTTGATCTATGTATGGCATACACTCAGAACTTGTTTACGTAAGATCTCTTTGTTATTTTTATAATAAGAAACCTTGAAGTTTAAGATTTATTTCAAAGCTAAATTTTAATAAGTACATAGATTTTAAGGCATTTTTTTCTTTTTCTTATATTTCATGTCACAGTTTCGTACTTACAATTTTCTTGAAGAAACGTCACAACCACTCCACTTTTATTTCTTGCTAAATAATTTTCTAATGAAGTGTGTAATGAAATTTCTAGTCAAGCTTAGTAAGCTAATAATAAGATAGGCATTCTTATTTATTATATCGAGCTTTCCTGGCACCAATCAAGCCTAAGCAGGGTTAGTAAAGTGAATCACTTCGTGGACGAATAGCAGATCTCTATTCCTTTCACGCTTCCAACAAGAGCTCTCTGCGAACTGTAAAAAGCAATGACTTCGTTTTCTAAAATCGGAGTAAATTTGCTCAGTAAAGTGAACCGGTTCTTTGAATCAGTTCTGCCGCGAGTCGTGCAACCGATTTTTAAGATGCACTAGTATTAAAATATTGTTGTTTATCATAATATTGTGCTAATACTGGAATTGTATAATACTGTTATATGTATTTACTTGTACTGGTATGCCAGTATTTTAGTACTGCACAATATTTTTAAGTGCTTATGAATTGTATTATATGTTGTACAATATTACTTTCTTTTGTATATGTGGAATAGTTTATTATAATGCAGTTACTTTCAAATGAATACAAGAGTATGTTTTCAACAGTATAGCATTTCGAAAAACCACAGAAAGACAGTTTTGTTTTTAAACCAAAACTAACAGAACAGCACATACACTACCCCCTTCAGCTTAATAGTAATACAATCAAAACAGACTGCTTTAGCAGCACGGCTGACTTCACACCTTAAACAGTACTTTCTCTGCCGATTGCTATAAAGACAGCTCCCTTCATTCAGACTTTCGAACAAAACTAGACTCACTGGCAGGGTTTAAAGAGGCTGATATTCTTAAAGTTAGCAAACTGCTCTGTAGGTGGAGTAAAGTATAAAGTAAAGCGGATCGTGCAACATTAGCGCTGGATTGCTTGCTTTCTTTACTTATACAGCTACGGTATATATGCATAGCCTACAAAGGTTACATACAATACAATACAATACCTGAGTTTATTACTACAATTTTAACATAACAGCGAGTAAGGAAGTTAGATGAAAATTTTCGAAAGAGATAAAAAAAAAA